ATATAAAGGAATACAGAATATAGAAATAATTTAATAAATCTATAATGATAAAAAATGATAAGAAAAACAGAATGATTGACAATTTTTCAAGCATTTTTATATATAACAAGTTTTATGTATACAAGCACACACACTATATTCTTAATTATGTTTCTAAATATCGCACCGTTATTTCATTTTCATTGTAGATGAGGAATCACACCGAACTTTAACGCTTATTCTTACGAATGATAATTTTAAGACAACACTACAGCAAACTTGCAGTTATCCTTTGAATGCAAAATTATATTACATTTTTTATTGAAGCTCGATAACTCACGGTCGATAATCATACAAAATTATAAAATCAAATAATGCACAAGCCTTTTGCTTTTTTTCTCACTCACACACACACACACACACACACACACACACACACACACACACACACACACAATACGCGCGCGCGCATACACCCACATCTACACACACACACACACACACACACACACACACACACACACATATATATATATATATAACGAACTCGCCTTGAATCAAAGGCATTTAAGTCAAGAGAGTAAATATTTACGAACCGTCTCTTACACTTGACTTAACATCAGGAATCATGCGCGTATTACTCTACTAGTCTAGATCTCTAAATAACATTTAAGATCAGATTGCACTGTGTGTGTGTGTGTGTGTGTGTGAGAGAGAGAGAGAGAGAATACCCTATCCTATGTAATTCTCTCTCTCTCTCTCTCTCTCTCTTTCTCTCTCCTTTCCCTTAATTATATTTTTTCTCAATAAAAATATAATATATAAACCTTATATATATTCTTCTGAACAAATGTCGCAGGAAACTATTTTGTTAGAAAATCATTAATCAAGGTGAACTATTTAAATTAATGATACAGAAAATAATCAAATCACTCCTATTGTACACTTTTAACATGTACACTAATAACATATAATTCACACTATATCTTTATCAACTCTTTATTTAAAACCCATCAAGTCAAAAATCAGAATAGTATATATTCCTCTGCCATTAAAAAAGATTGCTTATTAGCTTTTGTTAACCTCAACGATATTTATTTTACATATGCTGTTTGTTTTTAATGCCTGCAGCGCGATATAAAGTGTAATTTTGATTTAAAGAAATGTAACTTAATAAGCTTTGAATCCGTTAAGATTTCTTATTTTAGTGTACGCGCGCGTGCGTGCGAGCGTGTGTATGCACATACATATTATGACGCATTTTAAATAGATATAATTGTCGTATAATCATCGTGCAGATAATCGTGCACCTAGACGATTTACTCAGACATAAAACAAACATGAAACAAATTTAACATTCTTTCCAAAAGTCATATTACGATGAGTTTATATATAAAGTTTTCCTACGAATTAAATGTAGTTTAATGTTGCCGATAATTATCGACGATGAGTATCGACAATAATAATTACATTCGCGATTTCGCATCACCTATTCAAGGGCGCGTACAGACGTTCCTATTCGGGTTGCCCGGGTATCATCCTTGTTTAATGTTCGATGAATAACAAGAATGGAGCGATACCTGGGTAATAGGATGGAACCTGACCATAGCATAATAAGGATATTTAGTTCGTAGCTAATCTCACACCTCTTCAATACAGTTATACAATCGGCTATACAATCCGACACACTTGGATATACCGTTTTTATTCAATTCATTCATAATAGAAACCTTGAATCGTTAGAAATCAAATTAGCTTTGTCCAGCTAATCCAGATTTGTCAATAATATAATTTTTTATTGACGAAGCTACAGATTAAAAATACTGATATATTAAATTATATATTATTTTTTCAAGTAAGATAAGAAAAAGGAAAAGAGTATATAAAAGTCCATTCCCGTGTTAAATTGGTAATTTTAATTAGGCATAAATTATTCATTGTTTTATTAATTTCTGAGAAAAATTATAATGTAAAATGCAAAATTTCATATAACACGAAAGACAGTAATGAAGAAAAAGCTATCGAGGTTTAAAGTTATTTTAATTTAATGTTACATGATACACGTATTTTCTGTAACTATTTTTATAATTCTAAAATATATTTTAAAAACCGAGGCTTTATAAATATTTACATCTATATTTAGAATATTTAGAGGACAAAGAATATATACGTTTGACTTTGACTGACATTGAATTATACATTTTATCTAGAAAAGAAGCTCACAACTACTATGTCGATTAAGTCGTAAATGTAAATAGGCACATTCGATATTATAATTTCCTCGACGTATTATCTATTCTTCAATAGCTATGTAATTGTCCCCCATTAACTCTGTGTGTGTGTTTACGAAATATTTATGCATAAAATATGTGACAATATTTATATCCGACTCTCAATATTATAAGAATCTTTCAACGCATTTTATGGAAACAATTGACAAATAATAGTAAACGATTAATAAAATAGATTTTTCCGACATTGATTGTAAAATGATCAAATATTTGTCATGATGTGATTGAATAACAAGCTTACCTTAGTTTGATGATATGTATAAAATAGGAATATTAATATGTACACAATATTAAATTTAATCGACATAGGATGAATAATGTGAATCAAATTGCTGATGCGTCAATCGTACGCAAGAACTTGTTGCTTCAGCGGACAACCGCAAATTAATAACGTACTATAATTTCACAGCAACCACTTTCCACCTGTCTATGTAACAATAAGCTTCAATGTTCCCCCACTATACTATTGAAGTAGGACATTTGCGTTGCGTTAGGAGTCGCTGCGCTATACTTGTTATCGCAAACTTCCAGTCACATAACAGACGCTCGGACACTTGTAATCTCAATCTCAATCTCTCTCTCTCTCTCTCTCTCTCTCTCTCTCTCTCCTCCCCCTCTCTTCACATTATTTTTGCACGAAATATATATCCTACTTCATTTTAAATGGAATCGTCAAACTATATTGGCAATATCCTTTTTACTATGCAATGTATAAATATATATATATATTAGGTGTAGTAAAAAGTCATCGCGTTTTTTTAAAAGACATCTATCAGTAAAAACCGCAATTACTTTCTTACCTACATACATTTATAACAATATAAATATATCTTAATAGAGTAAAGTTTCAACTTTAAAAATCTCTTTTTTAAATTATACGATACGACAATTTTTAATGGAGTTATGAGCAATTAAAGTCAAAATAATTCTTTTATTTAATCCGCGATAACTCAGTAATCAAAAGTCGTAGGAATATT